AAACAAACAAACAAAAAAACCAGCTAGCACAAAAACAAGACCTTCTACTTGAGGATATCTGGGGAATCTCTGATGGCAAACCAAAAAGAGAACCTCTTTCTTGCTTTGAGGCTTAGTGGTATTTACAGAAGTACAGATGATTTATCAATAGTTGCTCATCTCCACTGTTCATGGGGTGATTCTAGAGTTAAACCAGGGGATGATCCTGTCATCAACTCTGTGAGGTAGGAACATCATGGAATACCAGGGCTTGGGGATGGTCATCCTGGGAGGGGAGATGCTTTTCGTGGGGAGATCAGTTTGTTAATGGATACGTGCAGCAAACCTTTCTTGAGTGGAGAGTAGGAAGAGCGAAGCCTAGTCTCTGCCTGCGTGGGGCTCATGACCTGCCAGGGCTAGTGAACTGTAATTCCATCAGTAATGTCAGATCCATGAGAGCTGTGAGGGGCTAAGTCAAGGTGAGGGATTAGGGAATGAGCAGGAGGGTCAGAGAGGGCATCCCAGAGTGAGTATTCCAGCAAACAAGATAGAGCCACATCATTATGACCTCATCTCATGGAAGTCACATGGAATGACTTCTGCTGATGCTATTGGTCAAAACAGACACAAGCCCAGCCAGGTTCTAGGAAGGAAGGAATGGCAAAGCACTGTGGCCATGTTTGAAACTGCCATGGATAGCAGTCAGCTCCCCTCCTCCAGTGACCATCTTATGGAAACAAATCAATGTATGATATTTCAAGATTAAGTGACCTTGTTTGAGGACGTGGCTGTGAACTTCACCAACCAGTACTGGGCACCATGGTGAGGCCATTCCCCAAGAAAATGGACAGTCTCTATATCATCAGGACTTGAAGGAGCTGCTATTCCCCATGGAGAACTGCACCCTCTCCCTAGGAAAGGTCCCCAACTAGTGTGGGAGAGCAGTAGCACCCTGAGTAAGTTCTTCAATCCCCGATGTTCTCATCCCACAAAGCCATCAAACGTGCCACTGTCAGGTTGTGGAAATGATTAAAAGTGATATAGCAGAGATGAGCTTTGTGCCAGAAGAGGCTGTGCAGGGCAGCAGTCAACCAACATCTGTTGACCCTAAGTACTTCTGGCCTAGAGTTTTAGAAAATATTTTGAAATGCTATGCAGAACTCAAGACCAAAGGTGGAGTTGTGGAATGGGTTGTAGGCTACAGGCTGTGTGACCTGGAGAAAGAATTTTAATGTCATCTCATGTGAAACATGGGAATCAAATACATACTCTCATACTGCCAGTGTCTTGGTAATGGATGCCCAGCCAGGGTCATTCCCTCCCTCGTGGGGGAAGTAGAATGAGAAACAAATGAACATACTCAGGAGGCTGCCATGCCTGCCTGGGGTTTCCAGCCCCCAGGCCTCAATCATTCCGCCAGATTCCCATTCCCTGCATCTAGTTATATCTTGGTGACACTTATAGGAACAGAATGACACACTCATCCTGAGTCACTTGGAATCTTGGGCCGAAGGGACTGAAGCCTTACACAGAATCTGTAGAACCGGTCTGACAATCTCCATCCTTTTGACGTTGCTAATTTTAGATAGATATCAAAACAGCAGTGAAAAGATATTAAGTAGGTAAGAAAATACACACAGATTCTGTGACAGAAATATATATTTTATTTAATCCATCTTTTAGTACTTGTCCATACATATAAATACTTTATCACAAATATAAGTGCACACACTTTTTGGTACCTGGCATTTTAAACTTACATTCTAAGCATTTTCCACTAATACCACTTTTAATGACCAAATGAACAAATTATAACAGCAAATCAACTGCAAAATTAAATGTTTTACCAACTGTCAACATTCATGAGCAACAACTCCCCACCATTTTTCTTATCTGTGTGGCAGGACAGTGTCCTCGGTAGTCCTTTGGTCTTGAGAACATCATCAATCGGTGCTTCTTTTCACATTCAGTTCCGAATCACAACCAGGCCAGTTCATGTTATGATGCAGGATCGGGCAGAAAAGGCAGTGTGTCTTCAACAGGCCTGAGGGCTATGAGGTAGGTGTTTCTTTCTGTATTTCATCCCATTGTGCGTCTTCTGATGCCCTATGAGGTGCGAGCTCTGGGTGAAGGCCTTTCCACACTTGTTACACATGTAGGGGCGCTCCCCAGTGTGGGTCCTCTGATGCCTGACAAGATGGGAGCTCTGGCGGAAGGCTTTTCTGCAGATCTGACACTGGTAGGGCTTGGCCCCTGTGTGAGTCCTCAGGTGCTGGGAGATGGCGGAGCGATCGTTGAAAGTTCTCCCACACTCGTGACATTTAAACGGCCTCTCTCCAGTGTGAATTCTCTGATGCTGCGTGAGGGAGGAGCTCTGAATGAATGCCTTTCCACAGTCCTGACACACATAGGGCTTCTCTCCTGTGTGGATTTTTTTATGTACAGAAAAGTATCTCGGGTTCCGGAATGTTTTACCACAAGCACTGCATTGGCAAACTTGGCTCCCCTTGTGAATTCTCGTAAATGTAACCTGTTGGGTGCTCCGGCTGAGGGTCCTCCCACAACTGCTATTTTCCGTAGCCTTTTCCCCTTTGCAGCTCTTCTGATGATTTCTTACACAGGAATTGTGCATCACCTTTTTAGCCCGTGAGCCACGCTTGCGCAAGCATTTTCTAGGGAGGGTTTTCAGATGTGAAACATGACTTGTGTGAAGACCTATTTTTGCCTGGGCTTTGCGGCCTTCACTGAGAGAGTGCTGCTTCTGAGAGAGGGTTTTCCCCTGAGTCAGCTCCGCTTGTTTCAATGCTGTGTCCAGTACTTCCAGGGCCCCACCCTGCAAGACGTCTCCTGAGGTAGAGGACTGGGCATCGGCCCTTGAGAATTCTTCCATTTTTAGATTGCAGGTTGGGTCTTCCTCAGGAACGTCAGACTTTGGGGTTACCTGTTTGCTTTCCAGTGTAGTCTCCCACCCTGGAAGAAACCAAAAGTTGTGGATTCTGTAGGGAGAAAATGCTTACGTGGGTTGACAGTATGATATAATTAACTACTCAAAAGCTGGAGATTTTTTCCCCAAGTACAGTCACGCAGCCTGGGGAAAGACTGAAAGTCAAGGAAACAGTCAAGTGGGGACACTGACACTGGTGATCAAGAGCTGGGGCGAGGGCTGGGAATGATGTCCTAGTTCTCCGAGTTCCTGTTCTCATGTACCCTCAGGGTGCACCTGAGGCTGCCTCTGTCCATACAACCACCCCTCCTGGTCCACGGTGCCAGTTAAAGGCCCTGGATGGGAACACAACTGTTGAGGGCATGCTTAGTCCTCGCGCTGAGCGCAGAGAAGGCACTGACTCAGGGCTCCCGGGGTGCCCCTGTCCTAAAAGCGTGGAGTGGCCTGCGTGGGCAAGGCCTTACCCACGGAGACCAGGTGTCCAAAGGTCTCCAGCATCACATCGTGGTACTCAGTCCTTTGTGTTGGGTCCAGCAGCCCCCACTCTTCCCTGCTGAAGTCCACAGCCACGTCCAGAAAGGTCACTGGTTCCTGCAATGTCACACATCGTGTGACCACTCAGAAAGGTCAGGGAGTTGTCAAAGGGGACATAAGAAAGGCTGGCTAGAACATTACAACAGCTTGCTGTCCTGGGGATACCTCTGCTTTTGGGATGTGCTAGAAACACTGACTGGGGCCACTAGAAGTCCAATGGGGCCCTTCTCACAAAACCAGAGTCTGTGGCTCAGGCTGGAGTTAGAGTCCCTACTTCACTAACAGCTGCAAGTGCCATAAGCACATTGGCCTCTATCCGACCCCCACCAGTATCCAGCTCACCTTTCCACACTACTACCCATAGGAGATGGCCCTCCTGGGCACAGCCCCACACCATGTGGTGTGCCAGGAGCTGCCTGGGGGTGGGGCAGTTACCCAGGTGGCTGTGATCAGTACTTTCTAAGGAGCTGACCAGGACTCCAGGAGGAAGAGGCCTACCCATTGTCTTTTGCTTGGATCTGGGATGCATTTTGCCCACAAGGGGCAGAGCCACAAGATGGGCTAGAGAGAGAATCCTCCCATTACCCAGTAATCCCTGATATAGTAGCCTTGCCAGAAGCCTACACCAGACCATTCACTACACGAGAGCCAGTACGTATACACTCCTATGCCTCCGCTAGTTGTAAGCCACTTGTAGCAGAAGCAGCCCTGACCAGTGCCACATACACACCATGGCTTGGTCATACCCTGAGCCTCAACAGTCCTATTTCATCCACACCCCAGCTCTGGGTTACTCTGAAGGAAATTCCAAACTCTCAGTAACAAACAGCTGTTCATTTCTGAAGGACAAGGGCTCTCTGGCTCTAACAGGATCCAGATGGGCCTGCTTGCTCCTGGCTGAGCCTGCCCACCTCCAAGTGTCTGTAAACACCATCCTGCCCCCAGATTTCTGGAGTTTCGGTCACTGCCCTTTCTTGGCTTCCAATGATGCCATGTGGCTGGAGTACAGGCCTACATTTTTTTTTTTGAGGAGAAAAGTGTCCTTTATTTTAAATCCCAGCAGCTAGGGAAAATGGAAGACTCAAGTCTCAGGCCTGCCTTTTGGGCTCAGAAGTTCTGGAAGGCCCGGCCCTGGTGGCCTGAGGGGTAGGCCCACCTCACAGGGGATGTTGTGACCAGAGAAGAAGAGGGTGACACTCCCCACTCACCTCAGGCAGTGCCTTTGCTGGCCAGGTCTCATTCTCCTTTTCCTTCTGTTGAGCTGTGGTCTCCAGAGAGCAGGTGGGGTCCTGGGAGGTCAACGCTGGGAGCACATATCAACATAAGAGATCAGTTGAATGTGATCACAAGCACAGCCCATGTCTCTGGGACCCATGGGGCCTGCACATACATTTCACCCTGTTGTGGAACCTTCTCCTCACCAGGTCAGCTGCCCACTCTAGCTGCTCCTCACAGCCTCTGCCCAAACCTTCATACGTGGAGAGCTGACTACCACAGGGCACAGGTGCTCCGACTGCTGAGACCCTGGACCCAGTCCTCGAGGCAGCCGCCTCATCTCCACACTCGCCTCAGCAGCTGGCCTCATACCTCCTCAGAGACAAAGACCCCATTTCTGGCCTCCAAGTCCACCCCTCCTCCTGTCACCATGCGGGGGGAAGATGGGGGTGGGGGAGGGGAGAAGGTGGGACTTCCCCTGGCCCCAGGCCCAGCCCCACTCTCCAGGCACACCCATCTTGATGTGAATTTTACCAAGTCTGCTCCACCTCAGCAAACAGCCCTGCCTGGCCTTGTCCCTCTCAATCCTGGCTCTTTCACGTCCGATTTTCCTCACATGTCCCCACATGGTCCATGGGCTTCTATAATGATGACTCCACCCTCACTAACAAGGGGCACATGATGTGACCCAGGCTGGCCCACCAGGCTGTTGCTTCCCCCTGGCCACAATGACTGAATCAGGATGAACATGGGGCAGACCAGAGACAAAGAGTCTGTAGGAACATTTAAGAGAAATTCCATGTGGGGAGGTCCCACATGGAGACAGCCTGCCTGTGAGTGAAGCCAGCAGAGGCCAGCAGCAGTAGGATACAGAGGACGAGTCCTATAGATACTTGGAGCTCCTAGGTCCAGCCATGCCTGAAGCTAGACCACCTTGGGACTTTTTCAATACATTCTCCTTGTCCCTTGGACCATTCTGTACAAAGCTTTGTGGGAGTCACACCCAAGAGTCCTAGCTGACATGCTGACCACAAATGTAGGATTCTCAGGGTTCTCTGGAAGGCCTCTTCTCGTTGTCCTCTGTATTACGACTTAATTCCCCCCGGAGGTGTTAACATATAGGATGGACTTACTTTCATAAGCTCCACAATGGTCTCTTTGGCACCTATATTAGTTTTCTATTTTTTTTTTTTTTTCTTAAAGATTTTGTTGGGGGGCCGGCCGAGTGGCACGATGGTTAAGAACTGGCTTGGGACGCCAGAGGGCCCCGGTTTGGAACCCACATATGAGGGCCAGTGACACTGCCCTCCACAGCTAAGATGCTGAACAACAGCTCAACCTGGAGCTCGGCTGCCGTGAGTCGCCGGCAACGGTGTAGGCTGCAGCCCCTGTGGCAGTGGGTTGCCATTGGCTACCGTATGTAGCCAGCAGCCAGCGTGAGTGGCCAGCAGCCGCAGTGAGCGGCCGTCCAGAAGCCGGTGACTGATGTGCCTCGCCCAGGAAGAGCACAATGATGGTGCCAACTTGGGCCAGTGAAGCAACGTCCTCCACAACTAGACTGAAGAACAAAAACAACAGCAACTTGTCTGTTCCCCTTCCCCCAATTCCCCAGCACTGTTCCCATCCCCCCAGTTCCCCAATAAAAAAATCTTAAAAAATATATATATTTTGTTGGGGATTGGGGGAGGGCAACAGCACTGGGGAATCAGAGGAAGAGGAACACACAAATTGTTGTCCTTAGGTTCTTCAGTCTAGTTGTGGAGGACGTTACTTCACTGGCCCATGTTGGTATTATCATTGAGCTCTTCCTGGATGAGGCAGATTGGTCGTCAGCCTCTGGACGGCCGCTCACGGTGGCTCTTGGCAGCTCACACTGGCTGTCGGCCGCTCACGCTGGCTGCCGGCCACACACAGTAGCTTATGGCAGCCCAGCTCCAGGTCAAGCTGTTGTTCACCATCTTAGCTATAGAGGGCAGTGTCACTGGCCCTCATGTCAGATCTGAACCGGGCCCTGCTGCTCAGAGCCAGCGTCCCAAGTCAGATATTAACCAACGGGCCACTCGACTGGCCCTAGTTTCCTATTGTTGCTGTAACAAAGTGCCACAACAGAGGCTCAAAATAACACAAATTTGCTATTAATATTTTACAATGATGGAGATCAGAAGTTGGACACAAGCCTCATGGGGCTAAAAGCAAGATGTTAGGACTATGTTGCTTTTGGAGGCTGTAGAGGAGAATATATTCCTTGCCTTTTCTGTTTCTAGAGGCTGCCTGAGATACTTGGCTCATGGCCCTTTGCTTGCATCACTCCTGCTTCTGTCATGTCACCTCTGACTCGGACCTTCCTACCTGCCTCTTATAATGACCCTTGTGTTAACAGTGGGCCTACTCAGTCCAGGAAACTCTCCTCATCTCAAGATCCTTGCCTTAATCTCACCTGTAAAGTCCCTTTTGCCAAGTGAGGTAACATAGTCATGGTTTAAATGATTAGACATGTACACCTTTGGGGGCCATTATGCTCACAATAGAACCCAGACTTTGTGAAAATCAGACAACTCTGCCTGCTCCACCCCTGCCACACTTGCTTCTGCCTGAAGCCCTGTTCTCTGAATCGGCCCTGCACCCACCCTCCCCCTCCACCACAAAAGATATTCATTTGCTCAAGAAACATCTTCTGGGAACCCAGATGCTGGGTGGGCAGTGGAGGTTGGCAAAGAAGTATCTGCTCCATGGAACTCAGAAATGAAGTCTCATGGGGTCTGACTCCCAAATGCATCCCATACCCATGCTCGCCCAGCCCCCACGGCTGCCACTCCTCTCAGTGGGTGTGGTCACAGCTCTGGATGGCCCATCTACTTCTAGTCTTGCCCCTGTCCTTGGCCCACCATCCACAGCATGTTGTGATTCTGCCACCTGTCCCTTGGGTCAGTTCCCACTACTTTAGACAAACATTTCCCAAGGGCCCTGCCAGCCATGCCCTCTGCTCCCTTCTGGTATAGATCTACCAAATCTCTCTGATTGTTGAATATACCGTTCCCATCTTAGGCCTTACACGTGATGCTTTCCCTGCTTGGCACGTCCTTCCTGTTCCCTCCTGAGCTCCACTCCACACCAGCTGCTTGGCTTCCACGATCCCCACTGCCAGCACCCTTGAGTTCCTCTCAACCCCACCACTGTCTCATACACATCTGTCAAATTCCCGTCTTTCCTGCTATACCGAAGGCTTGTTGAGCTAATGACTCCTGTGTGTCTCAGTCACCACTTTATCCACAGCCTCCACCAAGTGCGTGACATTAGAAGGCACCCTAGGAATATGACTGTGTGACTTAAGTCGGTTTCTATTGGCTCGTGGTGGCAAGGATCCCAAAGGGATGAAAATGAAGCACTTTATCCGTTAGCCTCCATCAGAAGCCTGTGGATGGAGGAATCCTTAAACAATGCTGTCGCAGGCCCCAGCCAGGGGTTTCAGTAGTTCTGAGGTGGGGCCCAAGACCTTCCATTTCCACAAAGGGGTCCAGGAACAAGGCCACGCTCAGAGCCCTTGATCTTGGGGCCATGGCAGGTATACCAGCAAGGAAGCATCTCAAGCTCTAAATCAGAAACGTGGGGGAGGCAGATGCCCTTGGCATAGATGCAGTGGCCGTAACCCGTTCCCCATCCTCCAAGATGCCCCACGGGAGTGACCCCCACCACACCCTTCCACTGCACTCACCTTCCTCCTCAGATATCCAGGTCACGTCCTCTACCAGGTCCACCGCCTCCTGGCAGTCTTCTGGGTGCTGTGACTCCACCCACACCCGCAGCTGCCCGGGCAGTGCACCCAGGAACTGCTCCAGCACCAGCAGTTCTAGCATCTGCTCTTTGGAGCGGACCTCAGGCTGCAGCCACTGGCGGCACAGCGTACGCAGCTGGGCCAGGGCCTCGTGGGGACCCACTGCATCTTCAAAGCGGAACCCCCGGAACTTCTGGCGAGCGGCCTCAGGGTCAGTTGGATGCCTGCTCCTTGGCTGAGTGGGCTCTCTGAGGACCTCTGGGCTCAGGCCCTCATCTTTAGAATAGAGGGCCCGGATCTGGGCATTACGACAATGTGCTACTTCCTGGTTCAGTGTAAGAACTTCAACAACCTTGATCTTCATCAGGGGATCCCCAGCAGGAAGAGGACCCAACTGAGGGTCCAATTGAGCCTCAGGACACCCTGTAAGTCAAAAGCAGAGCAACACAGATGACCAACAAGCACAGGAATGGATGCTCAACACCATTAGCCATCTGGAAGTGCAAACCACTTCATATAACAGGATGTAAAGAATGTGAACTAGGAAGACTATCATTGAAGAGCGACAGTAACAACTGTTGGTGAGGATATGGAAAAGCTGGAACCCTCATACACTGCTGGTAAGAACATAGAATGCTGCACCACCTTGCAAAACAGTCTGGCAGCTCTTCAAAAAGTTAAACATATTGTTTTGTTATGACCCAGGAGTTCTACACCTAACCACATATCCAAGAGAATTGAAAACATATGTCAACACAAAAACTACATACAGAAATGTTTACAGTAGCATTATTTATAATTGCCAAAGAAGGGGAAACAAATGTTCCTCAAATGATGAACAGATTAACAAAGTGGGGCCTACCCATAGAACAGGGGATATTATTTGACAATAAAAAGGAATGAAGTACTAACACATGCTATAGCATGGATGAATGTCATCTTGCAGCTGCCAACTCGAATGCTCCCGCACCCTGATCCTTTGAAGTAATAAGGAAGTGTCTCAGAATGCTGAGACCTGAGGGAATAGTCTCGGTAAAGCTTCCTTATCTGATGGTCTCGGAATGCTGAGTCCATCCATAGGGATGGTAGGTATGTGTGAAAACACAACTTGTGTTTGAACACAATGAGTTTTGATGAAGCAGTTGCCAGACACATCGAATCAACATACTGGGATGAGATATCCAAATTTACTTCTTTGTGGCAGCGGAGAATAAAAGCTTTGTTTGGGCCCGCCAGATTCGGGGCTCAGTCCACAGAGGCTTGAGACCCCTGGCCGGCACAAACTCAATACTTGGCTCTTGTATTTCTTAACCCTTTGCCGCCCCTCCTCGCGCTTCCCAGCCTGTCGTGCAGGAACACGACAGCTGGCGCCTGAATGTGGAAGGAAGACTCCGAGTCTATGGAAGGTTTCATGGCAAAGGGCCCAGGAGGCGTTGCAACAAGTACCGGACAGGGAGGTAGGGAAAATCCCGGAGAATTTAACCAGGGTAAAGGGGAATTAACTAAAAAACTTTCGTATGATAGAGTATGAATGTGTGAGTGATTGACTATAGTTCCACGGCTTCGGCTACGGAACTTGCTTGGGCCCTAATCTGCGATTCCGTGTTCATGTCGTAAGGCAAAATGGTGATTTGACGCATAGCTGCGTCAACTGGACCTGGGGTTTATACGGGTACACCATAGCCACGACGGACCTTAAAGTCCCGCGAGGGGCGCGGCCAGAGGGGCATCTGAGGTAACTTTGAGTGAAACTCTTCCTTTCTTTCTTTCTACTAACATGGGAAAGGCTGAGAGCCAAAACAGGCCTTATATTTGTCTGTTCTAACAGCTTCTTAAAGCTAGGGGAGCTCGAATTTCAGATGAGAAATTGGAAGAGCTTTTACAGGTAGTTGAAACTCACTGTTGCTGGTCCCCTAATTTAGGAACAGTAGACTTGAAAACATGGGAGAAAATCGGTGGTAAACTCTGTGAAATACATCATACAGGAGTTCCTCTCCCAGCAACTATTTGGACTACTTGGTGGTTAGTCCAGTCAGTTTTAGAGCCTTTACAAACTGACACGAAAGAGGATAAGGAGGAAGACTTTCTAGAAGGCTGTACAGTTATCCCAAAATCAGTATATCCAACTTTGGGAAATTGTCGGGAGGGTTATAGTTTGCCTCAAGTCCATTTGCCTCCGCTGCTGTCAGTTATGGTGCGGGAGTGGGGGCCTCCCAGGCCGCTGGAGGAAAGTGCTAACCCTTTCGTCTCCGCCACTTGCCCGCCTCCCCCGCCTATGAGAGGTTCACAGGCGCTGCTTTCGGCAGTAGAAAGGCATTCTACAGGCGTGTCTGGAGGGAGATTTGGATGCTTTAGCTTTTCCTGTTATACTTCATGAGCGTGTTGCTCCTGGTGCAGACCCTCAAAACCCCAATAGAGTTTATGAATCTCAGTATGAGGCTTTTCCTTTTAAGATAGTGGAAGAGTCAAAACTTGCTCTAACTCAGTATGGCCCTACCTCGCCATTCACCCTAGGCATAATCTGTAATTTGGCTGATGGAAATCGTTTAATTCCTGTAGACTGGTGTACAATGGCTCAGACATGCCTTTCGCCTGCTCAATTTTTGCAATTCAAAACTTCGTGGACAGATGGAGCGGAAACCCAGAGTATCTACCAGGCCCGTAACATTGCTATTTCTCAGGATCAGCTCCCAGGGACTGGGAACTGGGAACACACTCTGAAATAGTTAGCCATGGATGATCAGGCTATATCTCAATTAAAAAGGATTTGCTTAATTGCATGGGAAAAAATAGAGGCAGATGGTAAGGCTCCAAAGTCTTTTAAAAAAATCCTGTAGGGTCCTAAGGAACCATATACAGAATTTGTAGCCCGTTAACAAGATGCAATAAGGAAACAGGTAGCTAATTTGCAAACAGCTGAAATAATTCAACAAATCCTTGCCTTTGATAATGCTAATGATGACTACAAAAAGGCTACTGGGCCCATGAAAGGAAAGACTGATGTGTCAGGTTATATTGTTTGTGTCAGGGAGTGGGAATGGAGCAGTTCAAAGCTGTGATGTTAGCCCAGGCAATGGCAGGAATAGAATTCGGACAGAATAAATTCCCTGGCAGTTGTTATAATTGTGGAAAATCCGGTCATACTAGAAAAGAGTGCAGAAAGAAAAATAGAAACGGGTCCCGCCCACTTAATACCTCAGCTCCTACAGAGCCTAGGCAACCTGGGCTGTGTCCCAAATCCGAAAAAGGAAATCACTGGGCTTTGGAATGCCGGTCAGCTTATCATATACACAGCACTCCGCTTCAGGGAAACGGGAGAAGGGGCCAGACCCAGGTCCAGACAATATCTGGGGCATATATGGCACAGGAGATGCTTTAAAATGATCAGGCAGTGTGCCCTCTCCAGAATCAATGTCCAACAACTAAGTCCAGCCACGGAAGGGAGTGCTGCAATCGATGTCTGTACAGCACAGGATATTTTATTGCTCCCTGGAGAATCCCCCTTCCTTGTATCCACGGGAATTTTTGGCCCGATCCCTCCTAATACTGTTGGACTTCTCCTTGGTCATTCTTGTTTAACTTCCAAGGAAGTCACTGTTCATACTGGGATCATAGATTCTGATTCTGAGGAAGACATTCAAATTATAACGTCCTCTTCAGTTCCCTGGTCCGCTAGACGGGAGAGCGAGTTGTGCAACTGCTCCTCTTCCTGTATACTCTCCCAGGAAAAAAGGGGATGCAGAAAAGGGGAACCGGAGGATTTGGAAGTACCAGTCAGGCAGGTATTTTTCTAGCAGATATCAGGAATTCGTCCTGTTTGTCAAACTGAAATCCAAGGCAAAAAATTTGAAGGTCTTTTAGATACAGGAGCTGATGTTTCTATAATTAGTTCTCAAGAATGCCCCAAAAATTGGAGGTACAGGAACCAAATATTAATATAATGGGGGTCGGCCGAGCTTCAGGCTTGTGCCAAAGTGTCTGTATTCTTCCCTGCCTGGGTCCCGAGGGACAAAGAGGATTTTTTTACAACCCTATATTGCAGATATTCCAGTTAATATATGGGGAAGAGATTTACTTACACAATGGGAGGCAGAGATTTGGAGACCCCCTGGACAATATAGTCCTCACAGTAAAGAAATGAGTAATATGGGTTATTTGCCAGGAAAAAGTTTAGAAAAATTTAACCAGGGGATTACTCAACTCAATCAGCCTCCTTCTCAGCAAGGACGAGAGGTATTAGGTTATCGGACAGAGACACAAGATCCTTTTTCATAGCGGCCACTGTCGCAGAGCTACAGACCCATGTGGCTCTTAAATGGATAAGTAACAAGCCTCTCTGGATAGAACAGTGGCCCCTCTCTCAGGCTTTAACAGAGGCTAAAATTAGAGGCTTTAACAGAATTAGTACAGATTCAATTAGAACTAGATCATATAGAACCTTCTACAAGTCCCTGGAATTCTCCAATATTTGTTATTAAGAAAAAAATCAGGAAAATGGCAAATGCTCACTGATCTCCGAGCTGACAATACTATCATCAAGCCCAGGGGTGCTTTGCAGCCTGGACTTCCACAGCCTTCTATGATTCCAAAAAATTGGCATCTGATAGTGGTTGATTTACAGGATTGTTTTTAATACAAATCCTTTGCACCTCCAAGATTGTCCTAAATTTGCATTTTCTAGTCCTTCAACTAACAATAAGGAACCTATGAAAAGATATCAGTGAAAAGTGTTCCCCCAAGGAATGCTTAATAGTCCAACTCTATGTCAGCTTTTTGTAGCTAGGGCTCTTGAGGCAGTGAGAACAAGTTTTCCAGATTGTTATTCATTATATGGATGACATTCTCTGTGTTGCATCCTCTATGGAGTAGTTGACAGCATGTTTTGAATTACTTAAAAAGCAGCTAGACTCAGCAGGACTTTGCATTGCTCCAAATAAAATTCAAACCACCACACCGGTGCAGTATTTGGGTACTGTTGTAGATAGTCTATCCGACTTCAAAAGGTTCAAATTAGAAGTGATCAAATTTCTACTCTAAATGATTTGCAAACATTATTAGGGGACATCAGTTGGTTGCATCCCACATTGGGCATCCCTACATAAGCCCTCAGTCATTTATTTGGTCTTTTGCAAGGAACACCGCAGCTAAATAGCTCACGCACACTGACTCCTCAGGCCAGTCAAGAATTGGAGCTAAGAGAGCAAAAAATACAAGAAGCTCAAATTCAGCGCCATTAACCCTGCACAACCTTTACAGGTCTTAGTTTCTCCCACTTCACATTCACCTACAGTGGTAACTTCAACAGGATGACCTCGTAGAGTGGTTTTTTCTTCCTAATAATTTTGTTAAGTCACTCCCTATTTATGTGGAATTAATTTCTGAGCTCATATCACGAGCTCGGACCAGAGTCCTTCATCTCAATG